CATTTCCTATGGTTGAGGGCAGCTGTAATTAATGGATTTCCCTCCTTCCCCTAATGCAGTCATTTGTCAATTTAAACACAGAATGTCCAATCAATTTTGATGTATTTAGTAAGCAATTTGTCAAAGAGTACTGCATACCAGTTAATATATTAATTCTTGTCATTGGCCTGCTTCTGACAACTGCAGGTCATCTCCATAAAATCGGCCCCAATGAGCCAAAACTCTTGCCTGGAACATGAAGGTGCCCTTTCCAGAGGCAGAAGAGAGAAATCATATCTCATGTGATTCAATAACTTTTGGGGGCAGTTTTTGGTCTGATTAAGTTTTTTTTCATTAATTGTCCACATTTCAGATATTTCAACTGCAGTCAGTGAAAATGTGACTTCCAAGAGGAGGGGTAAGGCAGAAGGAAATAAGGAGTATGAAATAAGGATGTACAACTTGCTGCTGTTACCCAAAGTTACTTATTTTCATTATAATTCCATTGTGTACCAGGCACCTGTCTGCATGAATTCCAACATGCAAAAATGGAAGGTACAGGAATCAGACAAAGGAAACATGGGTGAAGTGAACCAAATATGCAAGATTTTGGGTCGTGCAGTAGAGAGAAAAGTATTTATCAGGAAAAACCTGAGCACAGACAGCAGGTTGTGATGGAGATGAAAAGCACATGCTGCATCACACCTCTGGAGTTTGTACTGCCAGAAGCATCTCAAGTCCTAAGTACTGTACAGCAGGAAAAAAGTAGTATGTAAAGAATAAGTTCTGATGAAACTTGGCAGTTCTCTGAAGAAAGCCAAGTCCTTTCCATCACAAGTTCCTGTGGATACCAGGAACTCCTGCACATCTCTCCTCCCCCTGTCAGGTCTGCTGGGACAGTCTCACTGCACCAGGCAATGGTATTTACACTACAGGAAAAACATCAAGGATGAAGAAAATGTGACTTACATTTCCTTCCTCTGTTGTGATTAGATTTAGGAGTTGCTCAGAGCACAGGGAAATAAAGACAGAATACTAGAGACACAAATAGGGTAAAATACTGTGTATTAAGAAGGGTAGGAAAGAAACACCTAGCACTAATGCCCAGCACTGAAGACCTGAGGACTGTAACACATCTGGGGCTCTGCAGGACAAACTCCTACAGAAGCAAAACTCTGAAATCTGCTCGGTCAGAAGGCGAAGAGATCCTTGGGACTCATTATTTGCACTCTGACCAACTGCAACAAGCCTGAAACAGTTGGGAGCAGGATACCGACACTTCTGCTGGCTGGCAGATTGTGGGATCTAACATGCAAGATCACTTTCAAGCCATGAACTTACAGAAAGGTCCAAATCTGCTACCCACTTTCTCACCTCTCTGCATGAGCCATGGCCACGATAAAGTGCTCAGGTAAATAGGAACTGCACACTGTGATCCAGGTTTCTGCAGCAGATGTCACAGATGACCTCAAAGCAATGAAACAGCTGTGCTAATCCACTTACAAATACCCTTGGGATAAAGGTCTTGGACACTTGTTGTGCAGAATATTTCTGCAAACAATGGTTCCTTGTTACTTCCTTATTAGCTGCAAATAGAACCTTAAGATTCTTAAAAAATATTAAAAGCTGAATGGCGAGTAAATAACTAAAATGCACTATTGTAGGATATTCTCTTTCTGTCAGAAGAACTCACTGGCCTACTTTTTACATTTCAGAGACCACGGAAGATTCTGGTGCTGTGTTTTGGCATCAAACTGCATATTTATGAGAACCTGCACAGCAGAGCCCTCCAACGAGACCGCCAGACGTTTCATTGTTCTGTCCGTCTGCTGACAGAGGTACTCTGTGCTAAAAAGCACACTGAGTATTTTTCAATGACCCAGGGGGCAAAGGTCACTTATTATAAATGGATAATGAGACCTAATGCAATGTTCTGAGTGTGGACAAAGAAAGGGTCTATCCATACCCCCTTGTGACTTGGTCATTCAGGCTTTTATTTCCCCTGCACACTTAATGGAGCCAAACAATTGGCAGAAATGCTATACAGAAACTGAGAGAAACTGCTGTATTCTGCCTCTGATGGACAGATACAAATAGTGACCCTGAAACGGCGCCAGAATTCCTCTTACCACTAGCGTGGCAGACAGATGTAACATTCACCCTAAACCCCTATTTAGCCATTTGCTGGCAATTAAACTTACTGACGGAAGTGATAGCACATCAAACCACAGGCTGCAGCTAATGTCAGCCCATGACATTACTGCAGGTAAGCAGAGCCAGATAACTTTGTTTTAGCCTGTATTTAATAGGGGGGAAAGCTAACAGGTGTCTTGGGCTCTTTTGCCTGAATCCCAGTTTGACTCCACGTTTTCAGAAACTTCATTGAGGACCTTCAGACAGAATAAAGCCAAAGGACAAATAAAACTTCAAAGAAGATCAGATACACAGAAACTTCTCTGCTAATGCCATTTTTACTATGTTGTCTAGACTCTTTTTTGTCTTTAGAGTTTATTAATTTATTTCTCTCTACCTTCCATACCCATCTGAGTGAATTCCTGTTACACGAATTAAAATCTGAATGAAAATTCTTCACTATAATTCAAATAATGCAAATTCATTATTTTGTTGGAATTTAGCTACCGCTCATTGTTCTTTCTTTAAAAAGCTTCCCATACCAAACCATCTGAATGTGTAGTATTTGAGCTGTTAATGAAATACAGAGTGAACCACATCTACCCCTGATTTCAGCATGTGAGATAAATGTGATCTGTGCATGTAAGCACTGATGCTCACAGAAGGGCTTTTGTTCAGACCATCTCTATGCAACGCATTGCTTTTAATTTCAACAGAAACTAAAAAGCAGACAAACTACTTCTACAAAATATCCAGAGCTCTCCAGAGAGCATTCTGTGCTCTCAGGCCCATACTGCAGTAACTGCACACTACGTACAATAATTTATATATTGATATGTTTGACAGTGTGCAGGGGAAATAGCTGAAACCAATTTGGATGATAAAGAGATCTGAAACTAGAGCAGAGACGCTGGGGAGGGTGAAGTGGGGGAAGAAATCTGGCCCAAACTGGTAAGCTGCAAGGACTGACAAACACAGGTAGTATTTGTGAATCAAAGCTAGTTTTGGAGACTGTTTCAAGACCACTCACTGTGGCTGCTTCCCCTGAAGATACTACGTTCAATAGTCTGTTTAGATACTTCTGCTAAGCAATAGCCTTGACAGCCCTAAAGAACAATAAATGCCCACAGCCACAGACAGTATCCTTTCATCCTCCTGCTTTGTCTTACACAGATATATTAACTACTAACAGGCCAAGAGGATATCATTTAAGGAAAAGTGCTGGAAAACAATCTTAACTTCACTTCCCCTCTGTGGTGCAGGAAACAGATTATGGTCTTCCTTGCAAACATGTCCAGCTAAACATGACTTACTGAAACACTGCAGCTTCTGTGAATGAGCCTGTTTGCCTTTTTTACTTCTTTATCATAGAAGTTATTTAATGTCATCATCAGCAACAGGTGCATAAGCAATGCACAAAAATATAAATGAATTATCTGCAATGTAAGCCAGACTATGTGGCAGCAGTTACCTTAAACTACAATCTGAAATTAGACCTAAGCTCTATAATCAATAGTATTTACTAAAGGCTTTGATATATTCCAAATATATTTGTTGACCTGATTGTACTCAGTGCTTCAAAATATATATATGAAAATTTAAGTACAGGCTTGCACACCTACTTTTAGCCATGTTCATTTGAAAATAACGATCTGTATTTATATGGTAAAATATTACACAACCAAAATACATCCTTGCAACGACCTTTTATCTCAAAGCAGAACTCACATACCCATAAGTCAAAGTAAAACACTTCAGAAATGTGGCAAAAAATTGCAGCTGAGAGGCACATCTAACACAGTGTTGTGCACTATTAATTACTTCTTCATATTCTTTTCTGCCTTTTGACTTTTCCTTTTTCCATGCAGCATAGAAGGACAAATCTAACCCTATAGGATTCCACATTTTGAGCTCTGAGTGCATGCAACAGATGGACAGGTAGAAGCAGCAGATCTAATCTGGCACCAATGTTGCTTTCACCAGTCACAGTCAAACATGCTGCCTTTTGGCCCAGATGTCCACTTTCTGCATTTTAAAATGCCTGTGTCACATAACATGCTGGCGTTAGCTGCACTGACAACTGTGCAGAGGGTCTGGTTTCCCCACGAGTACCTTTACAGATGCCAAGGGTTGCTCCCTCGTGAAGCTTTGACTGTTTTATCACTTTGATCTTGACTACACCCTAGATGAAGAAGAGACTTGCTACTCACTGTTAATGGTCGTCGCTTTTTGGAGTGGTTATAATAAAAAATAACATAAATACTCATTTATCTATAAACCTGACATAAAGTACGTGGGGTTATAGACATACATAATCTACATATGCCATATATCTGTAGATCCAGATGTATAAATCTGTGAATATGCCATTCCCTGCATATTGGCTGCCTGAGAAGGAGGTGGCTGGATAAGACAGAGGACAAGGCAGGTGGGCAGCCACCCTGGCAGCAATGCCAAAGCTCCCGAGGGAAGCAGCTGGCTGAGACTCTGGCTGGAAGAAGCCCAGCAATCAGGAGTTCCAGGAGAGAGGGAAAAGGCAGATGCACTCACTTGTCACCAAGTACTGAATTCATGAGAGGAAATGGCTAAAGGCATGAGAAGAAATGAGGTGAAGTAACCCTGAGGGCTTCAGGGGATCTAGTGGGTCACACCTGCAGAGCCTGCCAAGCAGTTGCATTTTGGCTACTTGATAGCCTCACAACTCTGATGAATTTCAAAAAGAAACTATATTCCCCACTCCACTGTTATTAATGTAGTTGGTTCTATGGAGCCCTGTCCTGGTGTAGAATATGTACAGAAATAAATACGGGTAGACAAACCAGCTCAGAAAGTCACACTTGGCTTAAAACATGCACTTAAGACAAGACAAAAAGCTGTCAGCTACTTACAGCCAGCAAGAAGATACTGGTAGTACTGTACAGCATCTGCAGCCAGGAGCAGTGGATGGTTTGCATTAAATGGTGGTTGGAGTTCATTCCACTGAGGAGTTCTGAGGTAAAACACAAGACTATTAATATTTAAGCTAATACAGAGAATGTAAATCAGTGTTTCTGTCATCACATGTAATTATCTATACAAGCTTGCAAAATGTTTGTAATTATTTAAATTAGCTTGTTCAAACACTGCAATGCACCACAGGCAGTTAAGCAGCACGACCAAATCATGCAGATTGTGAGGCAAAGACAATACTTATTTGTTGACTGCAGCATGTACTGCACAAAAAAATGAAGGCGGTTTAGATTAACTTGGGAAATAGGTTTTGGACAATTGTATGTCATGCTGACGTTCCATAAACACACAACAGAGACTGGGGAACTTTTTTGTTTGCTAGCTAGCATTGCTTTAGTACTGTATAGTCATTTACAAACTGTGAAAATAAAGCTGTGTAAAGTTATGGACTATTGATCCAATTAGAATTTTCAATTCCATTACAACCTACTCATTTCAACAATAATGGTCTAGAAGTCTGTGTTGTAATTTTAATTAGGGTGGGCCATTCCTAAATAGCTTGGTAAATCAAGTATTGATCAATCTAGGCCGGCCATAAGCAGCACTAAGAAATACAGGAGCCAAGAAAAATCGATAGAAAAATATTTTAAAACGTCAAAAGCACTGACAACACCTTCTCATCAATTTTTGTTTACTTTCTTCCACATGTCAGGAATAATTTCTTCAACTGTCTTAAGAAATGCTACATTCAGCTACTTGCAGGATAACTTGCCTAGTTCTTTGCAGTGCTTCATTGTGGAAAGCTCACTCATGTCTCATGACAGAATTCTGTAATTTAACTCTATTTAAAATAAATGTTTCTAGTCCTTACACAAAAAGCTAAATTACAATCTGATCATTTAAAACCACCAATTAATAAGGCTCTCTATTGATACGTAAATGTGTTTGTGTATCTCCACTTCTTTAGAAGTATTTAAATGGTTAGCTCCCCTTCAGACACACAAGTGCTAACAGAACTATGTGACACGTGGGCTTGAATTTCCTATTGAGAGTCCTCTCTTTCAGTTAAGAGTCCTCAAGAGAAACTTTAAGATAAAAATACAGGTGAAAATCACGATGCAGTTCATTCACTCCTCCCAAAAAACTGATTGCCATCACCTTCTGAAGAAAAAGAAGAAGGAAAGGTAAAAGGCATGAGCTACCTAACCAAAGTCCAGCTGGCTCTTGGGCATGTCACCATTTCCAAAGGTGTGTCATCACTGATCTTGGGGGCCGTGCTGAGCGGCCGCGGTTCCAGCACGTGCTCCACCAGGCTGCCGTAACAGCTGATAATGTACAGAGACTCCACCACAAACTGCTTGGATTGATCTGTTTGCAAAAGGAAAAAAGATCTTATTGTAGTCACATCAGCAACAGAAAAAAAGTTTACAGAAATAATAAACCCCTTATTCTTCTAAGTGTCTTGCCTTTATATGCTTGCAGTCAAAAATGTGAATTAAAGGAAGGGATCAAGAGACAAAGAGAAAATGGTACAAAGTATGCAATTTTCCCCTTGTTTCAAAAAAAGGGGAATACCTCACCTAAGAGAAGGTGGAGCAGAGTTTCTCACCAGGGTGTGTTTGGGTAATTACCCACTGCCAAACATCTGCCTGCACATTTGCTTTAGTAAAGGTGTCTCACATTCACCCCAAAGCTTTTTCAGTGAAACTTCACACCTAGTATTTTTTGATTGAACTATCAAAGTTTGTTGTCTGTCATTATACCATAATAAAAGATCAATAATTTATTTCACCAATTAACATCTCTTGTAAATTGTCCTCTTTACCAAAAGCACCCCAACCATGTTCCCAAAAATCTTCACTGTTACAGATTTTAAGGAACAAAACCTACTGATAAGCAGCATCTACTCAGAAGTTATCACAGGACAATAAAGTAAAATGGAGAATTTACATTTAGATGCAAGTCGTTTTTTGTAGTTGACAAACCTTTTTCTCTTTTCAGCCCAGGATTGTTTGCAAACCATGACCTTGATGATCCAAAGACTGCCGCGACACAAAACTCTCCTCCAACAGACTTGCTGGGTGAAATCTGGGGAGCTGGTTTGGATTTGCTTAAAAAAAGACCAAAATACGATTATGAAAGTTCATTTTCAAAAATTAAGATGTCCCTTGCTTAATAGTCATTCTAAGATATTAATTCAGAAATGGTAAATATCTGCAGTCCCTGTAAGATTTAGCAGGATTTACAGATGCTTAGTGTTTCTCGATAATAGGTCCCAAATTCCTCTTGATCATTGAACTCATTAAGTTGAAGAACAGCACTGGCTCATAATGGAGAGTCAGTTGGGCTGTTTAAAAGACCCAATATTGAATATTTGCATTCAATAGAAACAACTTTCTGAAGTGTATACAAACTTTTCTAATAATAAGTCCTTTGGGAATGAAAATACGGATTCTGGGTCAGTTATTCTAGGTGCATTTCAAAAGAAACTTAGAATTAATGCTAATGCTGCTGATCAGCTGTAACTCAGCACAGTCCTGATGCCACTGAAAGCACCAGAATACATGTGACATGGGAAAACAGGTAAGAGGGAACAACATGCAGAGGATACAAGGAAAGGGCAACAATGAGCTACGTGGTAAAACAAACCAGGAATTATATCATGTAAAATGAGATGAAGATACACCCTCCTTTGAAACTCCACAATGTGCATGTAGCAGATACAGTGGTTTCTAATTCTGTTTCACTGAAAAATCACTTAGCATTCCTCTTTACAGGAATCTGAAGACAGAACATTATGCCTGGTATAAACTGAGAACTGTATTCAGACCATTGCCCATTTCTTCAACTCACTAAACCAGGATTTTATCCCTAAGAGGAAAGCTGTTGAAAAGTTCACACAGGAGATGTCCTCCTTCTCTATATCCCCTTTTTTCCAGTCCTTTTAACTGGACTATTTTATATTTCTCTCTCTTCTTTCTTTAACTGTTCCCTTTTCTTGCTACCTCTCCCTCTTCTCCTTTCCTCTTTTCTTCTATTAATTTCTTGTTCCACATTATACCAGCCTGTGATCACACCATCATACTAACTCGGTCATTTTTAACTAGTGCTTTTCAATTTTAGGAAGTGTGTGTGTCCATACACGTATGTGCAAATAAATTATTGCAGGTATTATGATGGAATCAAACAGCAGAAAAACATTTAAAACAGCAGAAAGAATTTAAACACTATGGATAATTATAATGGCACTTAATTCACACTACATTTTTTTTGTTGATGACAAATTACCTGTATAGAGGTGAAGTGGTTCATCAGAATGAACCAAGAGGGATATTAAAACAAGAAGAGATTATGGATGGACATAACATAAAAATAACATAAGGAAACCAAGTTAAACTAAAATTATTCTGCAAGCTGTGCTTCTCCAAAACTCCAGCACCTGGCTGCAGAGATTGCACCTGCACAAAGACCTATGTCCTGGTCCCTTACAGCTCAGTCCTGATCTCACTGAAATCAATGGCAAAACTCACACTGACCTCAAACACTTCATTTCCCTCTGACAACTAGCTGTAGTGACACATGCAAAACATGGCATATGGTTAAAAACACAGAGCCTGCATCACTACTGCCATGGAACCTGAAACATGTAAACCTGCCTTCAGCTTGAGCTCACCTAGAGCAGCAAACCCTGTTGGTGTAGCACACAGAAATGAGGTCATTTAGGGAAAGGGGAGAACAGACTAAGTGCTTGCACTCACACTCTGTTCTCAGCCAGGTTTCTAAAAGGGATTTACAGGAGGTGTAACTGAGCTCTGCAGCACCTTGTGCAGTGTCACTCTGCCAGCCTTACCAACAGACTCACTGAGCACAGAGGGGCTAAGCTGCCTCCCATAAATCACCACAGCCAAGCCCATGCTCACACCTTTCGCTTGGAAGAAAGAAAAAAAGGAAACAAACACCTTTCAAAAGGATTTGCATCACACTGACAAGAGTCAGACAAAGTTTCATGGTCTCACACATGCAGGAGAAGCTAGAACGTCCCAAAAGAGCAATTGCAATTTATAGTCAGTAACTCTGCTATTGAACCACCACAAAGCACTTAATACCCAACTGTTAAAACTACAGCTGCTCATTACTGGGTCAGAAACCTGTGTCCCCAAAAGTTCTTCACTATAAATATATTACCTTATTGCAGTGGCATTTCATGATCTAGATTAGAATATTTAAATTGATATTAACATATTAACTATTTATTAGCTGCTCAGAAAAATTTAGAACTGATTTCCCTTGCTTTGAAATAGTCAGAGCAGGATTTTTAACCAGTTCTGTAATGAACCGTGTCTATAACTGGTTTTAGCTCTCATCTTCCAAATATTCATGCACTAATTTTCCTTAAGAAATTAATATATAAATGTATCCCCAAATCAGAGTCTGGCAAAGTACTGATCTATCCTTCAATCAATAGATGATTGGTTTTAATAAAGAATAAGATTGTTCAGAAGGACAGTGTTATTCATCAATACAAAGCAAAATACAAGTACAGATTCAGTACAATTCACACATGTTCACTTCCTCTTAAACTCTTGAGAACAGAATCTTTCCACACTATCCTAATATTCCTAATATTCTGAACTTTTACTCAACACAATCTAAGGTTACTAAAATACTTTAAAATGGAAAAAAAAAATGGAGAACAAATGCTATTCTCAACTACAAACTGGAGTAAACTTTTACAGAGACATAATTGAGTTCAGTTTCTTCAAGCCTTTAAGCAGAAGGCAACCTGGTACTCTAACAGCAGCTTTTTGCAGGGTTCTCCACACTCCTAGTCCCAAGACCCATGGCTCAACCAAACACAGATATGAACAATCTTAGAGGAAATGGTCTAAGCTACGTTCTATTTACATCATGTCTGTAAGATGCACATCTTTCAAGGCATGCATATAAGTGTTAGTTTCAGTGCCAAAACATTTTCCCTTCAAGAAGGATGCTTTGTAGACAGGAGCAGCCCTTGTAAAACATGATTACTCATGTGCTTAAACTTAGTCCTGCTAAAAAACAAACAAACAAAAATGACTAGTGCATCATACTGGCTTAGTCATATTTCTGAAAAAACTGCTGAGATGTCAACAGGTCTAGTCTGAAAACTATTGTAACTAAGGAACCTTTCATTTTACCACCATTTTTACGCTGTCACTGAGTTTTCATCAATACATTCCAACTCAAATTTCTTGCCTTCAGTAAACCTCAAAAGCCCAGTTATTTTCAGTAACAGTAATGACACTAGAAAAATATATTTTCATGTCATTGTGATATTTTAACAACTTGGAAACTATAAATCCTCATTATTATGTAGATGCAAACATCCCCTCAGCTTTATAAATGATAACAAAACAATAATGTTGAAGGTAGGTGGTGAATGACTTGTTTCTGCTATGAACTCCTGCTCTTTACTTGCTCTTATCCTGTCAGCACTTCATAAATTATTCCAAGAACTGAAATTAAGGCACGTTTGGCCTCACTTTTAAAAACTGTTAATTTAAAAGAATCTTCACGATATACTAACTTTCAAGAGACTGCACCATGTTTTACTGAAAGGGGCTGTGAGGCAGGAAGAAATCCAGGTTGCTGGGAATCAACACTAAAAACAAGAAAGTGAGGCTAATGGGACCAGAACATTCACCCCTAAAACTTCAATCTGCCCCATCAGAACCAAGGGCACTGTATTTAAGATAAAAGGAGGACAAAAAGGCAGTGTACCTTTTCCTGTCTGGGTCTAGCCAACTGGCTAACTAGACCAAGAATTCAATGAGACACAGCAGTATTTTTATCCCAATTGTATCTG